GGGAGAAGGGGAGAGAGGGGTGCAGGACGAGGGGCAGGAAGGGGAGGGGGGTGGAGAAGGAAGGAGAGAAGGGAGAGAGGAGGTGGAGGAAAGAGAGGAGGAGGGAGAAGGGGAGAGAAGAGGGAGAGAAAGAAAGAGAAGAGGAGAGAGGCCGGAAGAGATGGAGAGAAAGGAGGGAGGGAAGCAGGTGGAGAAGGAAGTCAGGATGCCAGGAAGCCTGGGCTCCCGATCACCTTCCTAAACCTCCCAGGGATGAGGGATGAACGGGGCAATGGAAGGGGGGGAAGGCAGGTGGTGTAGAAGTGGGTCAAAGAGGGGAGGGGGCAGGGCCGGGAGGAAAGGAGAGAGCAGTGGTTGGGGCAGTGGTCAGGACCAGGCCAGGGCTGGGAAGGAGGAGGAAAGGAGGGAGAGGAAGAGAGGGGAGAGGCCGGGAAGGACAGGGGAAAGGAAGGAGGCAAAGCTCCAGGGGGAACTGGGTTGGGGGGCAGGCTTGGGTGCAGGGGGCAGGTGGAGGAAAAAGGATGGGGCTGGGGTAAGTGCTGTCGCAGAGAGCCAGAGGGAAGCTGGCAGGACAAAGAGGGTAGGAAGGAACCAAGCTGGAGAGAGATGAGAGGAAGGAAAGTAGAAGGCAGGACCAGTGGGGTGGTGGTAGGACCTTGGGTGGGAGGACAGCTGGGAGCTAGAGCAGTGGAGGCCCAGGACAGGAGGGAGGGCCTGGGGAGTGGACAGCAGGGGGCAGGGGCAGGGGCAGGGCATTTCTTGAATCCTACTGTGCCCGCTTTGCCTAACTGTAGCAGGAGGATGGAGAACGGTGCTCCAGCCCTGGACCCTGAGGCTGTCAGGAGCAAGGGTGGGAATGAAGTCCAGAGTCCTTGGCTCTGCAGCCCCAAGGGAGATGGAGAAAAGCTGGGCCCCTGGCCCAGACCTGTCAGGTGGCAGCACCTGGAGGGGCAAGGGCATGGCCTCCAGCTTCCCCTGCCCACTCTCTCACCTCCCTGGGTGCTAACAGCAGGGCAGCAGGACACTTAGAGGTGTGAACCTGGTGCCACACCTCAGAGCTAGAGGGGAGGAGGGAGAAGGCAGAGGTGACACCTTCTTCTCTCATTTACTCCCCCTGATCCCTGCACCCCTTCCCACCAGAAGCTGGGGCACCAAGGAAGGGGGGGCATCAGGAATTAGGGGCAAAGAAAGCCAGAAGAGAGCCAAGAGGGGTCTAGGCAAGACACTAAATATCTTCCAGATGTTACAATTAGGGCAGAAACTTTGCCTCTTCCTTGTCCTCCCTCCCCCAAAAAGCCTGGCTACTAACCTAAGACACAGAGGAAATAAAAGATGAAGCTTCCTTATTCTTAGTGCTGGGATCCTAGAGAGACTGACCCTCCGTCTTCACCCTTCTCCCAAGAGCCCAGGGAGGGAAGGTGGCCCCACTGCCAGCAGACAGCAGGAGCAAAGTGCAGCCTTCTGGGGAAAGGCGGCTGGGAGGCTGGAAGGAAACTGGGCCAAGCAGACGAGCCCGAGCCCAAGCCAGGGAGAAGCGAGGTCACCTATGGGTGCTTAAGTAGCAGTTGTGATGGTGCTGGTGGTGGGGACCTGAGACCCGAAGGTGACAGAAAGAGAGAAACCAGGGAAAGGAGGAACAGACCAGGGCCAGAAAGCAGCAAGTGGGGCTATGGGCCTCTGGGTTCCTTCTGCACCTGGGCAGCGCTAAAACTGGATGAGGGAATGTGTGTGTGCAACCCAGGCCTCCCCCAGCACAGGCCCTGGATTAGTGGTGACATTGATGACAATGGTGACAGAACAGAGATGGCCAAGCAGCCAGTGGGTGCTTCCTGCCACCTGCTCTGGGCAGGTGTGGGGTTGAGCATCTCTCAAATAGGCATGGATTCTTTACATTATGGATCAACTGCTAGGATGTGGGCACTGGGCCAGGTCAAAGCAGGGTTTTGGATGCCCCTGTTGTCCGGTCTTAACTCTTTCATTGCAAAAGGGTCCCAGGCCAAAGGCCAGAGCTCTTGAGAAGTAGGGAAGTGGGCCAGTGAGCCCTTGTGGTCCATGGGTCTGAATCTTAGCTCACAAGGTGACTGTCTATTCTACTGAAGGAGAACAATTTGCCACTGTTGGGGAATCTGCTCAAGGACAGGAAGCAGCAAATCCCTGCCCCTGTTGAGCTTGTCTTTGAGGCGAGAAGATAACTCAAGGAACAACTTCAGAGGTGTATGAGCTATGCAAAAAATAATAGGGAAGACACCTGGATGAGGTGGCACTGCACCAAGGCCTGAATGACAAGGAGGTGGTGTGCAGAGTGCCCAGGAGTCAGCACTCCGGACAGAGCCCTGAGATGGCTACAAGTAGGTCTTTTTGAGGGCAGAAAATAAGACAAGTGTGGCAGAAGAACACCCACAAACAGGGGGAGCAGGAAAGATGGGGATGGAGCCCAGGGTTAGCCCATCCTGTGTCCTGATTTCACCTGAAGGCCCAACCCTAATCTTCAGCTGGTGCCACCGTGCTGGGTGACCTGAACCAGATCCCATTTTTCAACATGGGTTGGAGCCTGTGATGTACCACAAATCACATTAGATAGGAGATAGAAGCAGTGTCCCTCCACAGTAACAAAGGCTCGAAGATGTTCTCACTATTTAAAAAAAAAAACACCTGGAAATTGCACATTTACTTTGGGATGGGGTTTCTTTGCTTAAGGCTATAAAAAAAATCCACTCAGCATACTCACTGCTTGCTGAACCCTAACCAGGGTGATCTATAGTTATTATAACTGTGATAAATAAAATTTGGGAAAATGGAGTTCAGGTATAGTGTAATACCAGTGACTCCAGAGGCTGATGCAGGAGAATCACAAGTTTGAGGCCAGCATTAAAAAAACAAATAAAAAATAAAAAGGCTGGAGATACAGCTCAGAGGTACCAAAATTTAAAAATAAACAAATTGGGAAAATAAATGAACTTTTCCCTTAATGTAGTTCAGTTTGCTCAGAAAAAAATCTCTGGGGACTCATGGGAACAATGGCCAGCAGAATCACCACCCATGTGGTACTCATCTATTATGTTCGATACACTTACTCTGCACAGCTACTACACACCTTCATCTTAGCTAGGAAGTTAACAAGATTATCACTGAAGGCACAAAATTTTAGAAAGGTGGGTGACACTGCAGTCACTAAGCAAGGCCTAGTCCTTACCCCCAGTTCTGACCTTTATTCTGTGTGGTCTGCATGTGTCCCCCTCAAAATCACATGTTGAAATTTAATCACCAACGCAATAGTATTGAAAGGAGGGGACTTCACAGGTGAGAAGTCACAGGTAAGAGCTCTCATGCATGGGGTTACTGACTTTATAGTGCTGTTAGCTGGTGCCTTCTGCCAAGTGAGCACACAGCAAAAAGGCACCACCTTTCAGGAATAGATACTCACCAGAGGCCGAATCTCTGTGCTTTGATCTTGGTCTTCCAGCTTCCAGACTGTGAGAAAGAAATTTCCATTGTTTATTAAAAAACAAACAAACAAAAAACAGTTTTATTATAGTAGCCTGAACAAACTAAGACAATCCTCTAATCCAAACCCTAACCCCAACCATTAAGAGACATGGGTGACAGCTGACCGAGTTGTAGGCTTTGTTTTTATAGCCTGCATCCCACAAGACCATCATTGAGTCAGTATTGCAGACTATTTCCTGAAGGTGGGGTGACGTGTTACACAGCAGTGGGCAACTGCAACAGTCAGTAGAGCCCTGGCAGGCATAGGAACTACCTAGTAGGTGGGATGGGCTCAAACCATCTGCTCTCCTCAGAGGTTGAAAGCAGGGCTGATGTGAGCACGTGTACTGCCCTGTTCTTGGCTTCCAGATGTTATTCCCACAACAGTGAGACAGGCTCATAAAAGTGGCTGCTTGCAGGTTTAGAGTGGGGCTAGTACAAAGTATTCATGGGACAACTTTTGTGCCAAAAAGGCAAAGAAGCACTCCAAAATAAATAGAGTCACATCAAAAGAATGCAGGAGCCAGGTTGAAGAGGCTCCTGCTGGCAAAAGTTGGGACAATATGAGAATCAAAAAGAATGACTAAGCTGAATGCAGTGGCACACGCCTGTAATTCCAAGGTTCAGGAGGCTGAGACAGGCAGATCGCGAGTTCAAAGCCAGCCTCAGCCATGGTGAGGTGCTAAGCAACTCAGTGAGACCCTGTCTCTAAATAAAATACAAAATGGGGCCGAGGATGTGGCTCAGTGATCGAGTGCCCCTGAGTTCAATCCCTGGTACCAAAAAAGGGCGGGGGGATGACTATAATGAATGGTAACGTGTGTGTAACAAGTGTGTGTATGTATGTTATATGTGCACCCCATATAGATAGAGTGACAGATTTACACCAGTTGGAACCCCCCAATTCATTCCTGCAAGAATCACCAGGTTATTCTCCTGGTCTTGCCCTATAGATTGAGCCCAAGTTATAAGGGAAAAAATATACTTTAATGGAAGGATGTCACTTCAAGTGTTGAAACTTGGCCTCAGAACAACGGGCCAACTCACCATCATGTGCCTTCTGATGTGATGCAATATAAGGCACACAGCATCACTTGCAAAATCTTCTTGCCAATAATGTTTCATTAGGATTAAGCATCAAGACCCATAGTCCCTCATCTGTGTGCCAAGGCATCACAGGGAATTCTAGCAGAGCCAGCGGTGAGTCCAGCAGTGCTGGGATGGGAGTGTTAGAGCTTTTACTGAACACTGGAGTAGGCACAAACAGTTGAGAACAGTTTAGAAAGGTGGTACTTGCTGGCTCCAGTGCTTTACAGGTCACGAGGTATTTAATGTTTTCAATAGAGTCATGAGGCCTGCTACCTATCCCACCCCTCGTGACCTACTACCTCAGGGTAGTCACAATTTCAACATTTGGTTTTGCGACATTTCTGGGATGATATTATTTTTGTGCAGCTGAGGCTTCTGGCAGTTCTGTGATTAAAAAGCAGGCACTTCCTGTTTGTGGAACGGGAAATGAGCATGGTGATGTCTGATCTGATTCTGAAGCTTGAAGGTCACCCACATGTGCAGACACCATTAGTAAGAAATCAGTATCACGTAAGAATGAAATAAAATATTTTTCTTTCAACTTATATGCATTACTTTTTCAACTGGTGCTGTTGTAGGATGCGACTGTATCTTAATTTGTAAGGATCCCCCTGCCTGATAAGTTGGAACCATTTAGTATTTTTTTTTTTTTTTGCTTAGGGACACTATGAAGAAATTACCAGGACATCAAAGGCACTGTGAATTAAGAACATCTCTGCACCAAAGCTAATTTTCATCTTACAGGAAATAGGATAGAGGAACAAGTTAAAAGACACTATGAAGAACAACCAGGAAACCAGAAGGCGGGACATCCTTGAAGAACAACCACCAGCCTAGTCTTTTCAAAAAGAATCAAGAGCAAGAAAAAAAGTTTGGAATGGCTACTTATTAAGAGAGACTAAGCAGATAGCAGCTGTTGGGAGTCGCCCTGGCTCCAAAGATGGCGCCCACCGTGCTTCTCTTCCAGTACTAACTTCCTCATGCCCGGAGTCAGCTGCGGGAAGGGCCGCCCAATGGTGAGCCCTGCTGACCCTCATGATCCTTACCCACCAATCAGAAAGCACACAGAGCCAATACCCTGCTCTGTTGAACCGCCCCGGCTCTATAAATATGTAAAGCTGTTCCTCAATAAACGGGTATTTCTCCGTGGAGTCTTGTCCGGTCATTCTTTCAGCAGCTGCCTGCAATTATGAACTTTTCTTGAATTTTTAAAAATATTTTTAAAGGGGCTGGGGATGTGGCTCAAGCGGTAGCGTGCTCGCCTGGCATGCGTGTGGCCAGGGTTCCACCCTCAGCACCACATACAAAAAAAGATGTTGTGTCTGCCAAGAACTAAAAAAATAAATATTTTAAAAAATATATTTTTAAATATCTTTATTTTGTTTTATTTATTTTTGTGTGATGCTGAGGATCGAACCCAGTGCCTCATATGTGTGAGGCAAGTGCTGTGCCACTGAACCACAACCCCAGACCTTGCTTGAATTTTTAAGAGCCCTTCAATATAGTTCTGGATGATCAGGACAATGTAAATTGGACTTTCTTGGAAGGCTTGGGGAATTAATGTGCTTAGCTGTGGCATGATATGGCATTGTAGCTATGTAGGAGACTATTCCTGGAAGATTCCTGATGAAGCATTTACATCTGCAACTTACTTTCAAGTAATTCAGCATTTGGAATAGTAACAATGATTGAATCTCAATGGTGGGTGTATGGATGCTCATTAAATTTTTTCAACTGTCTATACATTTGACACCTTCCATAAATATTTGAGGGGGATTCAGCTGAGAGAAGTAACATTTAGGGCAAGTTGTCACCTGCAATTCTCCCTGCCCCCTCCTGTATACCCTCTCCCTCTCTCCATCAGCATTTAAGATTGACCTGGCATCTCACATCTTCAGGTAACCACGCCCTTCTCTGACACCTGTCCTCTTGTCTTCCCATGAAGCTTCTCCAAGACTCGTGGCCTCCCCTTCCTCAGGTCCTGATCTTTCCTCAGATACCAGCTAGGGTTCTGGCCCCATCTCCTCACCCAGCTGCCCTGTCTAGGCCACGATGACTCCCTACTGCCACCTCAGGCCTGCTTCTCCATCCTCACGCCACAGGTTCACTCTGCACCACTGATGCAGCTCCCCCTCCACCTATCCCTTGAGGGGCTCTGGTGGCTCTGACCCCCCTCCTCCCCTTCCTTTCCCTCACCATGCTGGGGCTTTGCCCATCTCCCCTTCTTTGCCTGGACCCTGAATGTGGGAGCAGAGACTCAGAGTCCAACCTCTCTTTGCGCCCTGCTTTCTCTCTTAGATGGTCACACCTGGTTCTGTGGCTTCAAACCCAGTCTGCTCCCCAAAGTGGTCTCCAGCCCTGACCTCCGCACACGTACAGATGGCTCCTTGATAGCCCCAATCCCAAATGTAATATGGCCAGAGTGGACTCCCACCTGGCTGCCACACACACCTGTTACATCCAGTCTTCCTTCTCTTAGTAAACTGCACCAAACATCTGTTCAGCTGTTGAGGAAAAATGCAGAAGTTGCTTTCCTCCCTGTGTCCAATCTATCCTGCAGTCCTGTGGCCCTACCTCTAAATTGATTCATTCCAGACAGTTCCTGCCTCCCTTGCCTTTTGCTACCCGGTGCCAGAAGCCGCCCTCTCAAGGGCAGCTGGAGACTTCCTCCCTGGCCTTACTACTGCCGCTCTGGCCTCCCTACAATCTGTTCTCCACACAGCAGCCAGTGAATGTGCAAGTCAACCTGATCCTGCTAGTGCCCACTTCACACACTCCCAGGGTGCCCGCCACGCATTCTAGTTAAAACCTCCACACTGCACCCTGGCCTCCCAGGCCCTGTGTGGTTGGGGCCGTGACACTTCGCTGACCTCGTCCGCCCTCCACTCATGCTCCAGCTTCGCCTGCCCATAGGGAGCCAATTCCCACAAACAACCATGCAAAGAAGATGTGGTTTCCTCATCTTACAGAGGAGACCCAGTGCAGGGAGGTGAAGAGCTTGCCCAAGACACCTGGAGGGAAGTACTGGAGTTTGGAACACAGATCTGTCCCATTTGACTCTGCCACACAGCACGGGACAAAAATGAACTGAGTGTTTTTCATTACGAATGCCACACCTGGGAACTCCGGTACTGGCCCCGATAGTGACTGGCACCAGACCTCCCTCCTGCAGCAAACAACCATGAGGGCAGACAAAGTGCAGGCCACTGTGTTCAGACACTGAACAAGAGAAAGAGGACTGTGGTCCTTGAGAGGACAGAGATGGGGAGGGTGAACCCCATCTTTACCTGGGCTTCCTCCTGAGACCACTGTCTCTGCCATAGAACCACCTTGCTGAGCATAGAAGGCAAGAGCAGAGTTGAGAGGCTGCTGAAGGGGCTGGACTCTGTGGGACAGGGACATGGAGGAGAGGGAGCTGCAGGAGGCAGACACTCAAGAGTCTGGTAGGGGTTCACCCCAGGCCCCTGGCTTAGACTGGCTGTGTCTGCAGAGGGCAGGACTCCACAAGGCCCCCAGGGAACAGCTGCTCAGGAAACAAGAGCTGAACAGAAACCAGAGGCCGTGTGGTGCTAGGAGACCGATGTGGAGGGCCCAGCCTAGCCAGAACAGGGGCTTCACCCAGACCCCAGGCACCCAGCCGAAAATGGGAGGGCCAAGCTTTAGGAACAAACCCACTCCCTAGGGTCAGGGCTTAGCTGAGGACCAAGAGCAGAATGAAGCAGACATGCTAATGTAAATTGGATAAGAGTCCAAGACACTGTCCTTCAGAGCAAAGCTCAACACTTCTCGAGGGAAGACGGCATGATCCAGGTCCCATATTATGTACCAGTCACAGTCTCCAATGAGCAGTTCAAAGTGCTAACTTCCAAAGAAACAGGAAGGTGTGTTCGTAGGTGAAGACCAAGAAAGTAGTCAACAGAAACAGACCTCAAGATGACCCAGATGTTGCTACTGAGAGACAAAACTTTAAAGAACACACACGTTCCACTTAAAATTCCACTTAAAATAGCATCAAAATGTGAAATGCACAGAAATAACCTTACAAAAGATGTGCGAGCCTTTACTGAATACTATACAATGTTGCTGAAAGAATAAATAGGAAGAGACATCATGTTCAGGAGCTGGGAGACTCAATAGTGAAGATGTCACTTCTCCCCAACTGGTCTGTAAATTCAATACAAGGCCAGTCAGGAGTCCACAGGCTTTTTGTAGACAAAAAATTGACAATTCAATCTAAAACTTTCTGTGCAAATACAAAGTGTGTGTGTGTGTGTGTGTGTGTGTGTGTGTGTGTGTGTGTGTATACATGAAACCCAGGCCTTGTACATGCCAGGCAACTGCTCTACCACTGAGCCACATCCCCAGCCCCCAAAGCAGCTATCATAAATATGTTTAAGGACTTAAAGGACAAGACAGCACAGTGAGTTAAAGATGGAAAATCTCAGCAGAGATAAACTATAAGAATAATCTGGGGGAAATTCCAGACATTACACTAAAACTTTCTTAAAAAGAGAAAAGGGAAAAAAACACTTCTGAAGTCGTTTTACAGGGCAGCAAATCTCAATATCCAAACCTGACATTACAAGAAAATAAAATTACAGACCAATATCCCTTATGAACACAGATGGGAAAGTTCTTAATAAAATATTGGAAAATCAAAATAGTAATATATGAAAAGGTTAATACATTATGAGCAAGTGGGATTTAGACCAGGAAAACAATATTTGTTTAACATTCAAAAAGCAGTGAATAGAATTTAGCATGTAACACAATACAAGGAGGAAAATCATATGATTGTCTCAATAGATGCAGAAAAAAATGATAAAACTGTCTTTATTCATAGAAAACATCATGTATGTAGAAAACTCAAAGGAATTTGCAAAAACAACTTCTAGAGCAAATATGTGAATTTAGCTACAATGCAAGACAAGAGGTTGATATAGAGTTTTTAAAATTATATTTTTATACACTAGAGCAAAATGAAAAATTTAAATGCCACTTAAAATAGCATCACAATGTGAAATGCACAGAAATAACCTTAACAAAAGAAGTGTGAGTCTTAACTGAATACTATACAAGTTACTGAAAGAATAAATAGGAAGAGACATCATGTTCAGGAGCTGGGAGACTCAATAGTGTTAAGATGTCACTTCTCCCCAACTGGTCTGTAAAGTCAATGCAAGTCCAGTAAGAATTTCACAGGTTTTTTTGTAGAAGTTGACAAGTTCAATTTAAAATTTATGCACAAATGTAAAGGCTCTAAGAAGAGACAAAACAATCCTAAAAAAGAAAAACAAAGTTGCAGTACTCAACCCAATTCAAAGTAAGCATAAAGCTTTAGTAATCAAGAGAATGTGGTTTTGCATTAGAACAGACAATTAAGAACAGAGAGCCCTTATCTAGACCCATATTTATAATCAAATGATTTCTTCAACAAAAGAGTAGAAGCAATTCGCTGGGGAAAGGAGAGCCCAGAACAAATAGACAAATGCCTGGGAAATGATTAACCTCCAACCCAACCTCACAACACTAGAGAGCCCATTCAGGGTGGATCGTGGACCTCGGCATAAAAACTAGAACCAGGAAGAAAATATAGGAGCATGTTTTGCAATCCAAGAGAGACAAAGATTTCCTAGACAAAGCACAGAAAGAAGTAAGCATAAAAATTAGATAAATTAGATCCAATCAACTCTAAAGCAGCTTCTTATCAAAAACATCATTAAGTAAATGCAAAGGCAAGATGCAGGCCTGCAGATGATATCTACAGTACACATCCATGAGGAAGAAATGAATAGAACGGGTAAAGGGCTTCTAAAAGCCAGTAACAAATGATGGCCAAATAAATCAAAAGTGGGCAAAATACTAGGACGTTTTACAAAGAAAATATACATTATCCAATAGACATACACACACAGAAAATACTCAACATTGTTAGTCATTAGAAGAATGCAAATGAAGTGGCACAATAAGATTCCATTTATCATTAATTAGAATGGTAGAAATTTAAAAGATGAGCCACACCAAATATTGGTGACAATGGAGAGCTGCAAAAATGCCCAGTGACACAGCCACTTTGGAAAATAGCTCACTGGTTTCTTTTACCCAAACCTATCTTTTTTTTTTTTTGTAGTCCTGGGGCTGGAACCCAGGG